TTATATTTAAATTGGTTGCAATAATAATCCTTAACCAATAATATTTAAATCCTACATTAAATTAATATAAATTTAATTTTTTTTTTATCTAATTTAAAGACAAAATTAATAAATAAATTTAAAAAGAAAAGTTATTAAAATAATTTAATATAAATTTTAAAACCTTAAAATTAAAATAATTGTTTAAGAATTAACGTCACAAATTTTAAATTTATTTCCATTTTAAAGATCTTCCATTTTCTTAAGTTAAATTAATATTCTTTTTTTTCTAATCATCTTTTAAAAAAAAATTTAAATTTAGCAAAAAAGTAAAGAAAAGTTAAAATTAATTTAAAGAAAAATACATAATTCAAAAATTTTTAAATTTAGATTTAAAAATAATAAAAGAAGGTTTTTTAATATCAAAATTCAAAAAATATTAATTCATTTTATTAAAGTTAATTCATTGAAATCTTTATTTTAAAATGAATCAATCAAGAAAATTTAGTTTTTCTTCATTTTAGCTTTTAAATAACGAATTAAAAAATTGTTTTAAATGTCATTAGATCTGATGGACAACTAATAGTCAATAAGCAGCCAAATTATTGGTAAATTTAAAAAACAAATAACTGACTAAAATTTTAATATTAATCAACTCTATTTTTTTAGTCTATATTTTTTTATTTACATGAAATTGATTATAAATAATAAAAATTGTTAAAAATATAATTTATACCTATTTAAAATTTAGTATTTTATTTAGAACTAATTAATTTTTAAAAATCCTTTAATTTACAACAAAAAATAATCTAAAAAAGTATTTAAAAAATTTCATCATAGTAAATTTTTTTTATGGAGAATGAGTTTTTAAATGCAAATATAAATTTTTTTCTTTTAAAAAATATTTTTAAATATGTTGATATGAAAATACATACAATAACAAATGAATTTTTCATTATTGAATAGTATTCCTTCAAAATTAATTCTTATTTTTATAAAAGAAAATACACTTTATAATTAGAAATATTTTTCGTATTAAGCTAAATAACCAATTTTCATTTATATTTTATAGTTAAAATGTTTCTAAATTAAGATTCATAAAGATTTATTTCTTTTTCAATATTTTTTCCTTATAATTTGAGAGTATTTATTTGATATTCTTTAAAGAAATGATTATTTTAAATAATTTATGGAGGAAATGATTTTATTTAAATATAAATTGCATTTAACAGATATTATTTTATACTAAAACAAATAATATAATTATATATTTTTTATAATAAATCATTTAATTCATGCAAATCTAATCAAGCTTGTTGGCCAAAGAGGCATTCAACAAATTCTTCATTTAATTTATCAAGCCCAGGGAAATCAGGCTTACAAACTTCTAAGAGGCAAAATTTGGTGATAAAGGCGCTTGTAGGGGAAGGACATCTCTTTTAGGAACAAGTAACTTATTTCAATAATGATGAAACACAATCAGTAGATAATTCGGAGCATTTTTAGGTGAGTTAGTCGTAGCATTACTTAAAATCTCCATTATTTTAGAGAACAAAAGGTTTAGTGAATTCAAATCCTTGAATTGTTTGGATAAACAAGCAAGAGAAGAGTAAACCGATAAGGATATATTTCATTTTTTTCTTATTTTTTGTTTTAGCTAATTTCTTATTTTTAGTTATTTTTGAAATTATTAGTTATTTTAGCCACCGTAAGGTGCATTTTTAAAGAATTCCAATTAATTCATTGATTAAAAATCCATAATTTTAAAATTAAAAGCGCCTATAAGTAAGCAAGTGATAGATTAATTATTCTCCAATTAAGCATTTTCTGATTAGGAAAATTGGTTTTAAAAAAGTAATTCAATTAAATTTAATTACATATAAAATAACAAGGGTACATGAATAAATAAATTAATGAAATATTTATTGAATTATAAATTTTACTAAAATAATTTACTGAATGAAATTCAATTTATAGCTGAAAAAAATGAAGCTTTCTTCACTCATCTTCCTTCAATCATATTTATTGATAGGTTTATTTTCATAATTTATATGTATGTTAAAAAGTTATTAAATAAGTAAAAAAAACTAATTGAAATAAATCAAACTATTTATTTATTTTAAATTAATTTGTCCTAACCAAAATAAATAAATAATTAGTTAATTAAGTCAATATTTTATAATAAATTATACTTTATCTAGTTAAATATATCATTAATGAATAGAAATAAAATAAAATTTAACTTTGAAAAATGATTTTTATTTCTTTTTAAAGTAATAAAAAATGTAATATATTAAAAATTCATAATTAAAAAATCAAAAGTGCCAATAAGTAATCAAGTATAGATTCATTAAATATTTTTCTATTAAAAATTTATTGATCAGAAAAATTTGTTTTAAAAAATAAAATTCAATTACACATAAAATGAGCAGAATACATGAGTATATCAGTTAATGTTATATTTATCGAATTAATAATTATACTTAAATAATTTTCTTAAACTCAATTTATTGCTGAAAAATGAAGCTTCACTCATTTTCCTTCAGTCATTTTTATTGATAGGTTTATTTAAATAATTTATATGTATGTTAAAATGTTATTAAATAAGTAAAAAAAAAAAATTAAAATAAATAAAACTATTTATTTTTTTTAAATTAATTTA